ACAAGACCTTTCACCAATTTAAGCTCTACATTTAGTTAACCTAATTCAAAATAGAATGAAAATGTAGGCAGAATATTGTGTATTCACTTAGGCCCTTTAAATCAGTACCATGACCATTGAGAGGCCATGAGTACAGCATAGTGGGGGAAAGTCTGGGGCCTGGGCATGAAGACTTCCTCAGCTACTCACCTGGCCTTGGGGAAGCAAATTGACCCTTCTCTACATCGACCATGGCTCAAACCTATACCATCTCTGTGGTTTTGGCAGTTTACCTGCCCTCTCAGTGACCCTGTTTCTTTATCTGTGAATTGTGGGTATTATTAGTCCTGGCCTCCATGGTATCTCTGAGGCAATGTGCTTGTGAGGGCTTGACATCTTCATGTACTGAAGACTTAGTCAGTAAGCATGGGAACATGAATCATGTTTTTATGTAATGTCCTTCGCACCTTTGTTACTAATGGTTTCCAAGGATAAAATGTGTACCACGGAGGAAAAAAGCAGGCTATTTTAATTAATAAATTTTATATAAGTTTAGTTAAATCATTCCATAAAAAGGGATTTAGTGTAGCCATTTTAAACAGTGACCTGGTACAAATAACTATATTTTGAGGACAGTAGGACCTGTGATGGGTTTGAAGATGTGCTAGGTACCTCCAGGAAACCTCTAGCATACCCAAGATTATCACTCAAATGCTTCCACAATTTAGGGGTTAGAGATGGGGAAGACCTAGGAGCCAGGCTCATTGGAGAATTTGATCGCCTTAAACATTCCAGTCAAGATAGCTCCTAGATTCCCAGGCCCAGGCTGCAAGGATGTATTTGTGTTTGAGAGGCATTAACGTGTAGTAAAAAGGGCACTGGGCTTTGATTAGAATCCCGCACTTACTAGCTCTATAACCTGGAGCAGGTTAACTAACTTCTGAGCATCAGTGTATTCACCTTGAAAATAGACATGATAATATCTACCTCATAAAGTTGTAATGAGGATCATGCCACCATGAACACAAAGTAACGCCTCAATAAATTTCCCCCTTCCCCAACATGACCTCTTCTCCAAGAGTAGAAATGTCTCACTTGGTAAACCCAGAGAGAGTAAACAGACCAAAGCATAGTCAGGGACAAAGCTGACTACTCAAAACAACTCTTGTCTTCACAGCATTGACCTAAAACTATCCCTTACAAAAAAATGATCTGTCTTCTCTGTTATTCCTACTATAAGGAAGAGCTTTTAGAAAATGTAGGTTCTGCACTGGAGAATGTAAAGAAAAGGAGACATTCTAGTAGCTGAAGCTGGGGCTATGCCTCCGAGCAAGACCAGCTTGTTGACTGAAAGGAGATGAAAGAAAAATACTACCACCTCTTGAGATTTTGCCTCCCTCACTGTCTTGCTGTTGCCCTGTTAGATATGTATTTGACAGACTGGGGCATCAAGAGACTTAACTTCACACTGTATCCAGAGTCCATTCACTGAGCCCACTCACTTTCCCTCCTGACACCTAGATGGGTGAAAATTGGTTGCAATGAGTCAAGGCAGTATTTAATGGAGAACAGGAGGGAAGGTACACAGAGCACCAAGGGAGAGACAGAGGCTGGACACAGCTGGTGTAGCCACAGAGAGGAGAGGAGAGTCAGTGTTGGCACAGATTAGACTTTGGGGGATGGGATCAGGTGCCCCTAGTATTTAGAAAAAATAATCCCTTCCTTAACTACACTGACTTGTCTCTTGCTCCTAAAATCTGTATGATTGGTAGAGCAGCAATTTTATCACTTTTTTGCATCTAAATGATAACTTAAATAGGTTTTCTGGACTAGCCCGGATCCCACTCACCCTTGGAAATATTGTTGTATATGAGTAAATACATTTCTAATAACAGCCAACTTAGAGATAAACTTGTCATACCAAACCTGGTCTTAAAGTTTTATTTGGAGGATATTGAAAATTCCTACTAGCTTGATATGTTCAAATTCCAAATGACCAAACAAGTTTCTTATGTTTACTGTGCATATTTTTTTGTTATAATTGAGTGATAAAAGTTGAAATGCATTTAAATAAAGATCAGAACACATAATCAATCCCAGTGAAATTACGTTTGACTAGAAGTAAATTTTATAAATATTTGTTGATTTACTTCCTTATTATAAGATGAAGCACTTATCCCAGTGTAAGTTGGCCTTTATATGAATAAGCGGGAAAGATCTAGATATAACCAGAGCCTTTTATAATTTCTATGTGCTATTGATGCTATTGTGTTGAAAAATGCACATTGAAAATTTGAATTAAATGCCTTATCCTAAACTAAGTTCCAGGCATATTAAAGGTTCAATATTTTAAAACAAAGCCAGCAAACAATCAAAAGAAAAAATAAATTAAAGATTTATTAAACTTGGGAAGGGGAGGAAAATTAAAGTTTATAACTCTTGAGGAAATCACCTAATAGAAAGGTACACACACATCATTTTATAAAAATGCAAAAACACCTGTATATCTTAAAGTAATAATATATGACAAGCAAATTAGAAAAATAGTTTTGGCAAATATTATTTTATACAGAGACAAGGGGTGATTATCTTTATTATAGAAAGAATCTTAACCAAATACATACACACACATACATAAACTCTTAAACTATTAGGACTTAGAAAATGCTTGGAGAAAATACAATTAGGAGAAATGGTCAGTATCATTAGATATTAAGTAAATTAAAAGGAAAATAAAAATGCATACTACTTACTCATCACGTTCATAAATTTTGCTTGTTCTAACAATTTTTTATGATAATGCTCCTGGAGGTATAGGAAATAAAAAGCCTTCTCATTCACTAAGGAACATTAAACTGCTGGGCCAACCCACTGGGAAAACAGTTGGATACCATGAATTGAGGTCGTCATATTCTTTAATGCACTGGTTTTCTTTCTCTAAACTACACTAAAAGAATATTCCTGGATATAAAACAGCCTTCATATAATATATTCATCGTGGTGTTCTTTTAAAAAGTGAAAAATGCTAAACAGCCTAAGTGTTCAACAATAAAGGAAGTATTAAGTAAATTTTAATTCAATCATTAATCTGATATCATGAGGCCTAAAAGTGAAGTTTATGGTGACCATATGTGGAAAAGCATGTTCTGCGTGATTTCCATATATTTAACTCTGTATAGGAACATTCTGGAAAGAAACTCACTGGAGCACTGACAGCGGTTGCCTTTGTTCTACTGGAGAGGCAGGAAGTATGTGAAATGGTCAGGAATGTGAGATCTGAGTCCAAATGGTCTGAGTTTAAATCCCAGCTCTGTCAACTTGTGTAGCTATTTGACTTTGATATTGAGTAGCTATTGGAGTCGGGCAAATTTTGAGTTCACTGTGATTAGATTTCTACCTCAGTAAATTGGGGGTAAAATAGTACCCACCTTCTGGGCTTTTTGTGAGGATTAAATTTACTAACACTGTCAACCATGCCTGGCATATATATACTAAGAGCTCAGTATGTATTAGCTATGTGCTGTTTAAGTGGTAGAACCAACATGGGCAGACTTTGGCCTACACTTTTCCACATTTTCCTAATCAACTTCTCTCTCTTCAACATATTACTGTTACATTAGAAAAAAAAGGAATAAATATCTTCCTGAAGGCCCTGAACACTGGGGCTGCCAGATTTTCTAGTCACACAGATTTAGACTCTCTATTGGAATCTCACAGTTATGTAATCAAAGAATAGATACTTCATGGTTGCTGAGACCCAAGAGTTGAAATTGGAGTAGAGTGACAATTGAAATGAACTTTGTGTCTCATTTCCTAAGAGAAGAAGCCCATTTCATAAGAAGTTAGAGTGCTTCAGTTTCCTTAAAGGATTGCTTGCATCCTTTGGAAAAACTTGTGTCTACAATGTTTTCTCCCTCTCCCCCAACCTCTATCTTCTAGAAAACTCAATTCTTCTCTATAACTCCTACATTTTAGTAATAGCTGGGCAAAAAAAAAAATTGAAAATACAGAGGGTGCCAAAAACATGTATGCACATTTTAAGAAAGGAAAAAGCTATTAAAATTGTAATACTCAATATATACCGATAATAAAAGATGAATATAAGTCATATGTATACATTTTTTTTTGCACCCCTGGTATTTATGATGATGGAATAAGTAAATTTTCTTGGGCAAGGAAAGTAAGTTAGGGAAAGGAGAGAGGTAGTCCATTTGTTGAATACCACGGTTAATTTCCAAACATTTCAAAAGGTGTATCATGCTTAAATTGATTTACATATAAAGTTATCATTTTAAAAATATATTTTAAAGTTCCAGGAGCAGAAGAGGAACATGCTTTCTCTTTCCCCTATGTTCCCCTAAGTTTTCAGGGGAAATTTCGGGGGGGGGGGGGGGAATCTGTGCTCATTTTGCAGTCTTCTCTTGCCAGCAGCTAACAAGTCTGTACAATACAGTTGCCAAGGCGATCTCAAGACCATGTAGACTGAGAGTGTTGTACAGGCGGGGAGATGATGAAATGGATTAACAATGTGAACAAGAGGAGCTTTTTTTAATTGGAAAATGATAAAATTATACTAGCCTTTATCAGTGGTTATGCTAGCTGTTCTAACATCTGTTGTTACAAAAGAACTTTTTATAATAAGACTTTTATGTTTTCTTATTGCCTTGCTCATAGATGCATGATTTGTCTCCTAGTTATGCCAATCTTTGTAACTCGGTACTGAGCCATGTCACAATTGGCTCCACTGCATTTAAGTTAGACAAAGAAATTTTTCATGTGCTAAAACCAGGAAAAATGTTTTCTATAAGTTCTACTTGAAGCCCTGCACTCAGCCAGACCCTACCAGAGTAGGCCTGAAGATAGGCATACTGCTTACTCTCAAAGCAGCACAAACATTTGCTGCTTAAATAAATTTACTCTTGTCCGATAAGCCTAATCACCAGCCAAATACATGCTCATTTTTCTAGGACTTAAGTCAGTTTCAAAAGAGTCAGTTGTGTTTCTTTTATTTTTTCCATCAGGTACAATCCTTGGATTTGCCCTCCGACCGTACAAAATGAGCTACCGGGAAGTCAAGTACTTTTCGTTTCCTGGGGAACTTCTGATGAGGATGTTACAGATGCTGGTGTTACCACTTATCATCTCCAGTCTTGTCACAGGTACCCTAAGTAGTTTTGTTAAAAGTGCGCTTATTACAAAAGATCACCTAGCAAAACAAATGCTTTAGGTTTCTGCTGGATGCATGCTCTGTTCTAGAAAAAAAGAAAAAAAAGTCCCTTCAAAATGGTGGAAAGGAGGCTTTAGTAATGCATGAATGATTATAACTCGTATTTTACCAATCACAAGAGGAAACAGATTTAAACAACCACATAATCTGGTCCGCCTCATTATGAAAGAGGTGCCTTGCTAAACACTACACAACCAGCCTTCTCTGACCACGGCCGTACAGTTGACAACAGCGTACAACAGGTCTGTTTTCTCACCCTCTTATCCCACCCAGATAACATCTGGTTGGACAGCCTATTAGCTATTGATGCAAGAATGCTTGTTCTCAGAGCCACCAGGACTTGAGCGGGAGCCTTCTTGGAAGCCTCATCAAGAGGTAATGCCCACAACACACTCACCAACTCTGCTGCCACCGACACTTTATCTTTTCCTGGTGAACCCGCATGATTGATTTCATTTCCTTCTCCAGTTGTCCACACCCCCTCATTACCTTTTACGCTGGTGGGAGAATGGGGAGGGGGTGGGAGATTTTCCCCATCCTGATATTTTGTCAGTTGACCCTTAGATTTTCAGCAAGTCGAAGCTTTGCAGGATAGGATTCTATTTTCTATGGCAGCGAGATAACAGTTGACTCCTGCATGGGAAATTGGTTGGAGTCATTTGTTTATGTGATTGGTGAATACAAATGGAGCCAAGAAGTTGCAGGAAGATGTTAGTGTACATTCCTTCCTGCCCACTCTTGTCTTTCCCCATAGCACATCTCTGACTTGAAAACGAATGTCCATAGACACTGCCCCAGCAGGATGGTTTCTGGGTTTGTAGCTAAAGCCCTGGACTCAGGTATCCCTGACCCTGTTCTCTTTCCACCCTTGGCTCCCTGTCCCCGCTTAGGCAAGTCACTCCACCTATGTGAGCAGGCTCTGCGCATCTTTTCCCCACCCAGGGAGTTCTCAGGGATACGTATAATCTCCTTTTGAGATCTCTGTAATAGGAACTTCATAATATAACATAAAAGTCATGGGGCAAGATTCTAACTACCACATGCCTTTCGGGGCCTGGCCATTAGTTGGACAGAAACTATGTCGAATTTTTCCTCAGTGCCGCAGCTCTCTGCTGGCATCCACTTGCCAAGGTCTTTAAACAAGTGATTGCATGTACAGGAAGCTCCCACTGGAGGAAGAATTGCCCATAAAACAAGCATGCAGACAGGAGGGTTTGGGGCCCTTGATTTTGAAACTGGCCTGCCCATCGCTGACCAGGGGTAATCATTCCAGTATTATCACAGAAGTTAGGTCAGTGCTGATGTAAGGGCACAACCACATTTTATTATCTACCTGCTGCCATTTCTCTGGGAAACAAGTTTTTTGCAGTAAGCACTTAGAGAACAGAACTCACATCCGCCATTTTATTTAGTAGAGCAAGGAGTTGCTCTTCACCATCTGCATTGGCTGGTGTCTGAATTGAGAACCTGCAATTGTCCTGGACACAAGCTGAGGGGTCCTGGGTTCCTTTATACTGTCTCCTCAAGGGTGGGCCCAGTGTTTAGAGGTTTCTGCTTTCTAGTAATTGTGCTAAAAAAACCCACTGTGTTACCCTTTATAAGGGGAAAGCCCTCATTAGGTACAATTTGAGAAAATATTACTCCCCCTTAGTAGGGATCCTAGTTGGCAGTTACCTTGAAGTGGAATTTCCTGATACTTAATACATCAACTTTACTGAAGGAATAAGAGCTTTTGCTGAGTAATTTTGCAGGAAAAATACTATGATGCAATCCCTTTTGCCTGATTAAAAGGAAATTTGTGGGTAAACCTTGGAGAAATCATCAACATTGATAATATTGTTAAAGAGAAAGGAATTATAAGCTGCAAGCAACCAATATAAAATGAACTTCTAAAACATAACCTAACTGCAAGTTGGAAATACTGTCACTTGGGACCAGTAAGAGAGTGTCAGCTCTTTTCCAGGACTGTGTTAAGACAAGGGGCATAATTATTTAGTTTACCAAACAGCTTTTTAAGTTGTTAGTCTCAAAGCAGTAATTTCCAAGCTACACAGTAATTTAGGTACTTATGATTAATTAGAATGAATGGTTGATTCAATAAGAATTTCCTTCAGGGTTTTAAGTACAATAATTCTAAACCAAAGTGGGATACGACCCAGTGAGAATGAGAGAGAGAGAGAGGGTACTTCTACAAATTACACGCACCCTTGGAAGATCCCTGTGTGCGCTGAGAGATGTTACTAGAGAATGTGTTGCCTGAGGAGGGAACAAAGTAGGGGTCCACTGTTTTAGAATGGAAAAGGAAATTCAAATGCCTTCCATGGCCAAGCAGGTGTGTGTGTGTGTGTGTGTGTGTGTGTGTGTGTATGGAACTGCTCTTTCAGGCTACTGTTTGTTCTCCTACATTGATAGAGTCATGGATACAGGGAAATATTTCTCTTTGACAGATAAAGTAACATGGACAAGTGTGACAAGTGGAAAGTGGCCCAGCTGCAGAATAGTGTAGACAAAAAGAGGCAAGGAGACTATTGTGACTTGAAAAGTATCAGTTCCAAACAATTGTTCCCATGTATCAACAAGGGCCAATCTTTCTCATTTTTCAAGAGAACCCAGAAATCCAAAAATTAATTTTAAGAACCTCTAGATTTTTCTGTATTGATACAATTAACAGAACAAAACACTGCAAGCCACACAAAGCACATCTGCAGGTCCAGTCCAGCCCCCAGGCTATCAATATCAGAACTCAGGTTTGAGTGTCAGTGCAACACATTATAAGAAATGCACTGATAAACTTGTGCACCCATCAGGCTCGCACTGGGTTTCGTAGGTTACCTTAGTTCACTGTAGACAGTTCCAGTGCCAAAGTTTAGTTCAACATGGAATCTGCTATTAAATGCTACATTTATTGTATACTAAACAAACAGCTATTGGAAACCTCCTCCTCTCCATCTTCTGAGTATCGTCACATTGTGTCATAGCTGTGCTGGTCTTTTCTGCACCTGACAGGAACCCCAGAATAAGAACTCAGAGGGCGGGCCAGCCGAGTGGCTCAGTTGGTTAAGAGCTCGCTCAAAAGTGTGAGCTCTGAGCAACAGGGTTGCCAGTTTGATTCCCTGTCTGAGCTGAGCTGCTGCTGAGCTGCCAACAGGTGGCAGGATGGCTCAGCTAAAAAAAAAAAAAGAACTCAGAGGGCATGCTCCCATAGAAAGTATTTCTCGATGGGAAAATGCTTGACAGACGTAATGCTCTTCAGTTTGAAAGTCCCAGAGTCTTTCAGACAGAAATTGAAATGGATAAAGCCCTTATTGGATTTCTTGGATTAGGCATTTTGTTTTAGAAGATTCTGTACATTTAGGTGTCCTAAAGTCACATTTAAACTCTGAGATCTCTAAGTTAGGTTTTTGTACTTGAAACAACTATGTTTGTAAGTTGTGGCTCTAAAGCCTCTGCAAGCCATGTTCTCCTTTTCCTGAATTTGAAATTCCAATCTTCCTAAACATCCTTGGTGTATATTAGCATTTCAGAAGCTGCCAGAGAGAAGCTGGGAGAAAGCCCAATGTCTAGATTTGTACTCAAGTACCTTTTCTTTGAGAAAAATATTTCTGTGCCAACACACCACACAATAAAATAGGAGGTTTGGCATCAGTTTCTATTGATTTGGTCAGGATAAACAGCTAAACTAGGTATTTCTTGCCAAAAATATGAGTTGGTTTGGCTGGATTAGCCTGACTAAATTCACTAGGTAATAATTTAACTCCTTTTCAGGCTGTGCTGTATAGACATCACTATCACCTCCTCTTCTGAATCTTTTTAGAAAACTAGTGCTTTCTTCTTTTCTCATTCTAAGTGTACACTCCTCAGTCACCTAAAAGGAAATCTTTTGTCTCCAGTTTTCTGGAAGGGGGGAGGATCACTTTTGACAAGCAATCGCTGTGGAGTTGGGCAAATTGTAAGTAAAAGGTTGGTGAGGGGGTCTCAACAGCAAGAGTAAAAGTAGCAGCAATGTCTGGAGCCTATGCTAGGGCACATTGGAGGTAGGATTAGAACATGCATGAAGTTTATCTCTTAACATTCATTCATTCATTCACAGCTATTTTTTGAGCTCTTACCATGTCAGAGCTATGCCAGGCACAGAGGATGTGTGAATGCAAAGGTATAGGCCTCAGGAAGATGTATGTTGGGTGCACAGGGCAAAGCTTCCCCGCATCCCTTAAATCATACACTATATGTAAGCAAATTCCAGTTTCAACTGTAAAAGTCTAAGGGTGGTCCTCTGTATTCCCAGCAAAAAAAGAGACAACTGGGTTAATTTTAAGAACATGATTCCAAATCTGATTTTTTTGAGTCATGGTATTTCCATTATTTACTGAAAATGTTCTTTATATCAACATACTTTTCTTCCAATGCCTCCCATCGTTATGGAAAATGGATACCTCCTATTATTTGCCTTGTGAAGGAGATAATACATTACAACATAATGAAAGTCTAGATTGATACTGTTGCCTGCCAAAGGCTCTGAGTGCCTGAGACTAGCACACTCATTTCCAAAGGGTTGGAGGAGGGTGCAAATGTTAAATAACACTTGAGCACAAAGTAAGACTTTTTCTTACCTATAATCCAAAGGATTGAAAGAGAATTTAGAAGAATGACTTTCTCACCATGTGAGTTAAAATTAAAGAGGGGTTTCTGTACCACCAGAATAAATAAATGCCACTGTATTTACTCTATTTTGGGAAACACTGATCTAGTCCAACCATCCCTACAATATCCCTTCCAAGTCACTGTCCAGTTTCTGCCTAAACATTTCCAATGACAAGAGATCTCTGGAACCCATTTGTTCCTGGAAAACTCTTAACAGTTCTTTGTTTTTTTTTTTGCATCCAAAATGGAACACACACACAAACACACACACACACAGAAAATCAAACAAAA